CACGCCTCCCCCCCGCCACCAGAATCAGCTGTGCTGTATTTCCCAGGGAAGCCCTGGCTCCCAAGTCCGCACATCCCGGGCAGCCTCAGGCCCATCAATCTGCTGGCCTATTTCTGCGGGGCCGGGGGGCGTGGGCGTGATCTTTCCTGAAAGCCATGGGGTTTTCTAAAGGCCCTGATGCTCAGAGCACTGACACTTTGACCCTTAGATTAGATAGCTTTGGTGGTGGAGGTGGGGGTGTGGGGCGTTGAGGGATTGAGGGGAAAAAGAGAACTCACGGACATGGACAGCAGTGTGCTGATTGCAGGGTGGAGGGGGTGGGGTGGAAGAGAGCATAGAGGATACATGGTGATGGAAAAAATGATCATAATTTACCATAATTAAAATAGGGGCTCAGAATCGTTTGCCCTTGCAGTTGTATTAACTTACATTTCAGTGGCAGGTATGAGAGGAAAGGCCAGCCGTCCTCCCCGGGACAGACCAGGACCATCTCACGCAGCTTGTGCAAATAACGCTTGTGTGGTGGTCAGAGAAAGAAAAGAAGAGAAGAGAAAGGGCTCAGACCATTCTCCCCACAAATGAGTGTGTTGTGTTTTCTAGCTTAACTCTGCCCGTTTGACCACTGTCCTTTTATGTGGCTAAATGCTCTTACACTAGCAACACGGAGGTGGGACCAGCGGCCGTGCGCTCCCCTGCCCCGCGGTCAGCAGGAGGCCGGACCCTGCGGGTGTGGGTGCCTGGAACAGGAGCCTCCCGCACCGAGCAGTCACGGGCAGAACTGTTTGCCCAGAGACCCAGAACCCTGGGCTTTTGTGAGGGAATTCTCAAATGATTGCAGTATTTCAGTCATTTTCCATCCTGGCAGGCCAAGTGGTCTGTTTTGGGGCCAGATTCAGTCCACAGGCTCAGCTCAGCCCTCGACATGGGAGCCGGTGGATGAGGCGGTTCTGGGATTATAAAAAGTGGGAAACGTTTTAGAACGACTCATGTTATGCTCCTAAGTTGTCACCCCACAGCCTGCTCTCTCCCGTTTTGAAGGTCAAAGCTGAAGATGGAAGACATCAAGGAAGCCAATAAAGCACTGAAGGTACTGAGTTATCCCTGGCGTTGGCACAAAAGCCGCTCTGTGGCACTGGTCGCTCACGCCAATACCCCCGTGCGCCTGGGTCTGCGCCCCAGAAGGCGGGTGAGGCCTGAGCGGCCGAGGCGCGGTCCTCACCGTTTAGCGGTAGATGCTGCTCGGAGCGGCGGCAGCCCGCGGGAACCGGCTCCTGGCTTGTTCCCCTGCCACCAGCTGGAGTGACACAGGCCTCGGGCAGGTGCCCTGGCGGAGGAAGCGAAAGGCGGCAGAAAGAGGCCGGGGTGTTTTTCATAGTGAGAGTGAGGCCTTTCCTCCGGGTGAGACCAGAGCCCTCCCTGCCCCTGTGGGGCCTCCGCCATTTCTGGGGCCACTGACACCCTGAGGGGGCAGGAGGCCGGGTCATTTTGGGAAGAGCAGCGTGACACCACCGAGCGGGACCGTGTGGCCAGGGCAGCTCAGCAGGAGGGACAGCCCACCGGTGGTGGTGGCGGCAGGGCCAGCTGCTCCCCCAGTATACGCCGGGGCAGAGACCTGATGGCCGGGCCCCTCCCCTCCAGCGCACACAGGTCAGAGGCAGCAAAGGGTCGCAGCACCTACCAGCACTGGACTTGGAACAGCTGTCCGTTTCTCTGCCCTCCCTGCAGAGGGAAAGCTCCTTCCATGTAACGGCCGGGCTGCTGGGCTGCGTGCGCCCTGCAGGGCACACAGACATCGTGCTTCTAGGGCCCTGTCAGAGCCTCGGGTGCCTCCCCCACGGTGCTCCAGGGATGAGGGGCTTCCGTGACAGGGACCACTGTGGCGGGTGGTTTCTGTCTGGCTACAGGGCTGGCCTTTCTCCCTCCTGCCAGTTCAAGAGACACTTCCGAGTGCCTCAGCCAGGGTTGGAGCTGCAACCCTGACTCTCAGGACTCAGCCAGAGGCCTCTATTGGAAGGTAGTGAACAGGGGCTGGAGAATCCGGCTTGAGGCCAGGGGACAGCGTGCTTAGGCTGAAAACCAGAGCCACAGGCCAGGCCAGGTCTGTCCCTGGAGAGGAACTGGGTACTGAGCAGCCAGAACACCGGAGCCGGCCATCAATGTGCTTTCCTCCCAGGGCCACACTTGGCTGAAAGATGACGAAGCCACCCACTGTAAGCAGTGTGAGAAGGAGTTCTCCATCTCCCGGAGAAAGGTATGTGTGCCCAGGGCCTGGGTTGGTACCCAGCTGGGCTCCCCTTCCTCTGGTTCTGGGACGAGCCCTTGGGACAAGCCAAGTACTGTGGTCACACCTGGTGTGCTGGCCCATGCAGGGTGCCCCCAGTCAGCCACAGGCATTGTCCCCAGCAGTCCTTTCAATGATTGGCAGTTTCTTTGGGAGTTGGGCTGCTTGTGTACAGAACTGGTCTAAGTGAATGTATCATTGAAAAGCCTTCATAAGCAACAGAAACAAAATCTGCCCAAGTTGGTCAAGAAAAAAGGATCGGTGGGCAACCGATGGGCAGCAGGTTTGGGGACAGGCATCCAAGTAGCTCCCAAAGCTCACAGGTCACCTGGGCAGGCACTTGGTCCTGCTGCCCGGCTCCCAGTGAGCCTGCTTTTCTGCCTGGACAGCCTGCCTCCAGGTCTCGAGAACAGGTCCTGGGCCCAGCCTTTGGGCCAGGATTGAGGACCATGGTTGGCCAGTTAAGAGGACAGCCAGAGGCTAGATTCCCAAGCAAAATAGGGAGTCCTCACCAAAAGGGGAATGCCTGCCACCCTGGCACCACCACCCCATTGCCAGATAGACGCACATTCTCACCGGTCCCGTTAAAACCTTCTGTGGAAAAGAGGAAGCAAAACTTCCAAATTCTAAAGAGAACAGCAGCAGCCCAGGCGAGGCTGCCTTTGAGACCAGCCGCTCGCAAGGCCTGCTAGCGGCGGGGCTCCACACGCCTGGCTCTCCCTACACCAGTTCGAGGTCCAGCTTCCAGCCTGATGGGCATGGCAGTGGCAGCAGTGATGTAGAGCCCGGAGGAGCAGAAGCCACATAGGTCCGGGTCTTGGCGTCTGCTGTGTGCCCGCCCAACACGTGTGGCAGCTCAGCTTACAAAGCAAGACACCCTCACCCCCCAAGACGGACCAGAAAAGGAGCCATAAACGCAGCCGTCACTGGATGATCCGGGCCCAAGTCCAGTAAAACGCATTTTAAAGAAAAAGAACCTTAGTCCTAGCGCACACCACTCCACCCACACTCCATGGGTTGTTCAGGAACAGAAATGTAGAAATAAAGGTCTAGAGCAGGGGTGGGGACCGCAGCCCATGGGCCATATAACGCCCATGAAATCATTTGGCCTGGCCAGGCCAGGGCATTAGGGGTGAGTTAATTACATGTTTAACCAAAGATAGCAGGCTACTTTTTTTTTTTTAATATATCTTTATTGATTTCAGAGAGGAAGGGAGAGAGAAAGAGATAGATAGAAACATCAGTGATGAGAGAGAATCATTGATTGGCTACCTTCTGCACACCCCCTACTGGGGATCAAGCCTGCAACCCGGGCATGTGCCCCTGACCAGAATCGAACCTGGGACCCTTCAGTCCGCAGGCTGATGCTCTATCCACTGAGCCAAACCAGCCAGGGCCGCAGGCTACTTTTTTAAGTTGATAATTTTGCATGACCCATAAATTTTGTTATAAATAGCCAAAAGGTTCCCCACCCCTGGTCTAGAGGAACTTCCAAATTGGCAAGCCTCTGGGGGAGGGACCTGGAATTAGTAAATGAACTCTGAAAGGCTGCAAGTCTAGCCTGGGTGTGGACCAGGGAGCACAGCATGTCCTGTGACTGCCTCTTTTCTGTCCTCTAGCACCACTGCCGAAACTGTGGCCACATCTTCTGCAACACGTGCTCCAGTAACGAGCTGGCCCTGCCCTCCTACCCCAAGCCCGTGCGTGTGTGTGACAGCTGCCACACCCTGCTCCTGCAGCGCTGCTCCTCCTCCACAGGCTCCTAAGGCCTCGGGACAGCGCCAGCCTGCAGGGGTTCGAGGCTCAGAGCTGGTTTCCCAAGAGAATCTAAGGAAAGAGCCGTTCCTGGGCCGACTGCCAGCACTTTCAGAGTTGTATGGAACGAACTCTGGATTGAAGCTTCCTTCTCAGTTGGCGGCATCACCGGTTTAGGGTCAGAAGTAACTTCATGGTTTTGCTACTGTCATTTTCACTTTTTCAAGAACTAATCTATTTTGCAGCAGTTGTACTAGTGTAGTGAGTAATCAGTTCCTCTCCCCGCACTGCCCTGTGTGCCTTCCCTGCTTGAGTCAAGAAATGGGCCCTTTCACACCCTTGTAAGTCACTTCTCACTCTTGTGCAGGGAATAAAGGAGCTTGTGTCAACCTGAGTTAGCCTCTGAAGACCCCTCAGACAAGCTCCGTTTCAGGACAATAGGCCCTTTGGGGGCCATGTTTGGGGTGAAGTCTGCTGGGTTCTGGGGTATAGGCTGTGCTCTGCCCAGTGAGCCAAGGACAACTTGGGCTGTTAAATCCATTGGTGGGATTGGGAAGTGACCTGTCCAAGCTCATGGAGACACCTGAGGGGAAGCCCCTTGGAGTTTGCATTTCAGAAGCAGAGTCAGGACAGGTGTTAGCTGTGGGCTGTGAAAACTGGCTCAGAGACTTCCTCCTCTGAGCACATGCATCGCCCTCCCCCAGTCAATGGCCTCAAAAGTCAGTCCATTTGTGGGCTGGGCTTCAGCCTTCTCCAACCTCAGTGCACTCACCTTACTGCCCCTCGGATTCATCCTCCTTATTGCCCGTCCGTACCTCCCACCAGTCCTTCTGCACTGCTTCCAGCTGGCCAGCCCCTGCTGGAGGCCCTGACTCCTCCTTCTCAGGAGGGCTCTTCCACAGCCTGGCTCAAGGTTCCCAGCTACTCCCTTAAATACACCTTTATGTTATGGATGGGAAACAGAGGCTCCGTGAAGTTAGGTCCCAGCATGCAGTGCAGCCAGCCTCTAAAACCATGCCTAACTCCAAAGCCACGTTTTATCCAAGCTGCAGGCTTTCAAACCTTACCCGGAACTTTTTAAATATTCACTCTTCCCCAGTCATTTGCATACTGCTGCCTCAAACTGGTCTGGCATTCGATGCATGGACCTTGTCTTCAGTGCACCCAGTTTGAACTGCGCTTGCTGAGGACATTAGGCAGTCACTTCACTTCGGAGCCTTAGCGCTCATCTGCACGTACATAAGGTAGCAGGGCAATACCTCCCCACTGAGGTCCTGTTCTGAAGGCTCAGTAAGTACATGACATGCCCACCACTGTGCCACACTTAGTGCTCTTCCCTTAATCACACTTATTTTCTCCTCCAACCTCATCCCCCCTCCTAACCCTCAAGCAACTAATGGTCAAGCACTATTCACAAAGAATGCTTGGGCCAGTTACTAGCTGCATGGAAAACGTTTCACTCAGACATCAGATATACACCTGACCTTTGGGACCCCCTGGTCTGGCAACCCTCTAACCTGGGCAGCGACAGACAGATGGTTGAAGGCGGCGCTCCTCGAGCTGCCATGCACAGGCTGATGGGGCGGCATGGAGGTTTGTTTTCAGTGCAGACAATGTCTGGAGGTTCTGGTCATTCCCAGCAAGCTCCAGGATGCTGGCCCACAGAACGTAAGATTCCTAAGAACCAGAATGTTCTTACTAGCTTTACTCCATGTTTCTAGTTCTTTCCCTTTCTTACTGTTTTCAACAAAAATGTTCTTTATGTAAAACAAATTAACTGAAGAACTCAAGGATGGAACCCTCCTTGAGCCTTCTCAACACCAGGTATCTCCAATCCACACACTTTTAATAACTCAGCCAATGCTAGGTTTATTTAGACTGTAGCTGAACACCAGTGCTCACACTGAAAATTAATCATCTCTAAACCTGCTGGACAAGCGACATGATACATTCCAAGTGCAACATCTGTGTATCCATAGCCCTTTCCCGACAGTGTAGAGCAGCACCAACAGCCAGCAGAGAGCATGCAGCAGGGCAAGGGGGTCTGCAGGGCCCCCCTTCATGCATTACTGCCACCCACAGACTTAGACTTGAGTAGACCCACCAAACTAATCTCACCCAGGAAGAAAGGAGAATATCTTTAGCACTTATCAGAGCAAAATGTACACACCAGGCTCCAAAGAGTACAAGCCTTTATCTGCAGCTAATCAATACAACTAATGAGTCTGGAGCAAGCAGCAACTTCCAACCGGTGTGCTGCAAGCATTTTTAAAACATGCAATACCTGACAATTTTAGTCAAGGGCACTGACCTCTCTTCCCGACTGTCAAATTTAAAAAATGACAACAGCCGTCTGATATGAATATGATAGAATTGCATCTGATTGGTCAGTCCTTGGTACCAGAAATCTATAAAAATAAAAGTATAATATGCTAATTAGACCGGACGTCCTTCCAGACAAAGCCGGGGCTGCAGCCATGGGATGGAGGCAGCCACTACAGCTGCGAGGGATGGATCCAGGCAGCCAGACCGCAGCTGTGAAGGCCTACTCTTGCATGAATTCCATGCATCAGGCCTCTAGTACTTATGCACAGATTTTCATGCATCAGGCCTCTAGTACTTATGCCCAATGCACGAAATTCATGCAAGAGTAGGCCTTTCTTCGCCTGGCTGCCTGCACCAGCTTCCCACAGGCACCTGGGACCCGGCTGCTTCCCTCCTCCAGCCGCCTACAGGCACCTGGGGCGCAGGCTGGCTTCCCTCCAGCCCCATCAGGAAGGACATCATGAAGATGTCGTCTAATTAGCATATTACCCTTTTATTATTATAGATAGGCACCTGATTTTTTAGTCACTTTAGAACAAAAGTAGTAGGCAATTACTGTTTTGTAAATCTATCAAAATCATACCTATTTTATCAGATTGGCAAAAACCCCCCACAAATCTATTCTTTGGTGTACTGCAGATTTTAGTAGTTTGTATGCCATTAGATGAAAATGGTTAAAAATTACTATTCTAGAGGGATGGTGAATGAGTGGTAGTTTCCAAATTGCAGTCTAAGTATCCACTGAAGGGACTTCTGGAACTATACTTTAAATTCCTAATGCTAGAGCATTTTCTAGCAAATGTCAAATTTTAGCCCTAATCTAGTCTACCAGTCTTTAAATAATGATTTTAATTTCAGAAATATGTGGTCTTGCCCTAGCTGGTTTGGCTCAGTGGATAGAGCCTCGGCCTGCAGACTGGAGGGTCCTGGGTTTGATTCAAGGGCACATACTCAGGTTGTGGGCTCGATCCCCAGCAGGGGGTGTGCAGGAGGCAGCTGATCAATGATTCTTTCTCATTGATGTTTCTATCTCCCTCTCCCTTCCTCTCTGAAATCAATTTTAAAAAAAGATGTGGTCTTCTCCATCAGGAGCTTTAAAGGAAATGAATTTTGCTCGTTAAGCATGTCAAACTCGTGGCCCACCTGTGGCCAACAATGAATTATTTTTGCAGCCCAGCCAATATAACGGTTATGTAAGAAATGTTTTAATAAAGATTTCATAACTTTTACAATATCGTTATAATTAATAACAAACTATGACATTCGCCGACTGATTACTATAATCCTGTTGCATTCATTTCCCTCATGCACAGGCACACCATTTCTCTCCACTAATACTAGCAGTGAACACTTTAGCAACCGATTTCCACATTAGTCTTGGACTAGTTTGGTATGTGCAAACAGGAAATATTTCGCTTTCAGAGAACAAGAAAAATAGGTTTATTTGCACTATGCTTATTAATCTGTGCATTTATTCAGTGTCTGCTACATTTATTTCAGCCCTTTGTATTCACATCTCTATCAAAATAAACCTACATCTCTATGAAAATTGAAGCTTTTGGGTTTTGCGGCCCACATAAACTTAAACCTTATTTGGCCCGTGTTAAGCCTTTGAGTTTGACATGCTTGTTTTAAGTGGTCTTTGATCTTTGGGAATGAGGCAAAAATGATTAAAACCTCAATTTCAAAAACGAGTTCTCCCTCCTAGGAGCACACCTGCACCCCCACCCCCACCCCCAGGCATTTACCCATTACCTTCCTCACTCACTCCCAAGCTCCAAGGGCCCCCCCCCCCTTTTTTTAACCTCTGTAACTTGTTTCCTAAACCCATTTCTAGTTTACTTCACCTCTGGAATTTTCTGAACAAATGTTGTTCTAGTTTGGGGGGAGGAGGCACTTCATATAAAAACTCAGCCCTGCCCTGGCTGGTTTTGCTCAGTGGATAGACCTATGGACCGAGAGGTCCCAGGTTCGATTCAGGTCAAGGGCATGTACCTTGGTTGTGGGCGCGTCCCCAGGGGCGGGTGTGCAGGAGGCAGCTGATCGATGTTTCTCTCCCATGAATGTTTCTATCCCTCTCCCTTCTTCTCTGTAAAAAATCAATAAAGTATATTTTAAAAAAACCAAAACTCACCCCTAGCCAGTTTGGCTCAATGGGTAGAGTGTCAGCCTGCAGACCAAAAGGTCCTGGGAGCCAAGGCTGCAGGCTCCTCCCTGGTCCAGGGTCATGCAGGAGGCAACCAATCGATGTGTTTCTCACATCAATGTTTCTTTCCTCTCCTAAAAGCCGATGGAAAAATATCCTCTGGTAATGATTAACAAAAAAAAAAAGCAAAGCCCTGGCTGGGTAGCTGAGTTAGTTCAAGTGTTGTCCTTATACATCAAGGTTTTGCAGGTACAGTCCCTGGTCAGGGCACATACAAGAATCAACCGAACACAAAAATTAGTGGAACAACAAATCAATGTTTTTCTCTCCCTTCCTCTAAAATCCATATAAACTTGAAGAGATGCCATCCAATTATGAAGGATAGCTCCAGCCACCCTTTGCTGTATGCTTCCTCCTCTGCCATGCCTGAAGGCCCCTGTGGACATGCAGCGTGCAGTAAGGACACTTGTGCTTCTGCTTTGTGCAAGTGCTTAGCAAGTCAAAGGCAGCACACAAACACAGAGCCCGTCCACAGAGGCCCAAAGCCATGATTACCTTGTACTGGAGGGAAGTCTGAAGACCTCTACACAACAGCCTCAACTGGGGAGCCTCTGTCACAGCCAGAGACATGGGCCACTGTCACCTACGCCCAGGCAGGCACAGAGCCCAACAAACAGGCCACGTGACACTGAAGCACAGACAACACAAAGTGCAGTTTTTAAAAGGAAAATTTATTTTGACAAGTTTCACTTAGCGCAATACACCTAAAAGGAAATCACAATACAATGAAAGATTTAAATCAAGGCCTCGGAATTTCATACAAACACCAAGACCAAAATCCTAAAGTACTGGTATTGCGTCTCAAAATTTTCCCATTAACTTAAAAAAAGCTTCAACTTACATGCCTTGGAAGTTATGAAATG